ATATCGCAGTTTCGCACTTGCTGATTTTATTTTTCTCGAAGTCCAACAAGTTATAAGTTCAGTTTTCTTTCTTGAAGCGACAGGTTTCTGAGTAGTCTGTAGTTTAAAATCTTTTGATATTTTGCAGAAGCAGTAGAAATGGTCTTCTTTCATCGAACTGTTTCATAACTTTACAATATCATGTCACCGAGAGATGCAGTGAGTAACTGAAAATAAGGTGGAACATATACCAAAGCATAAAAATGTATACGAAAGCACAATTTTATTTGTTTTAAGTGTCCTCATTCACATTTTAATAAAAAAAACATGTGGTGTATATATTAGGATATAAACAAAAAGGGAAAAAATTTAATTATTTTTATTCTCCTAAAAGGTTACAAATTTCAGCTATAAAAATATACACAAACAATTTTATGCCGTTTTTCTCTCTTTTTTTTTACTCCATTTTAACCTATCAAGATACTCGATACCAACGTTAAATAAACAATCTCTTTTACACAAATATTATCGCCGAACCACTGAATACTTCCAATGTGATGTGTAGTTATATAAATAGAAATGCAGAAAATTGACCGAAATAAATGGCGGAAAATATGTGTAGTGATGAAATGGTGTGTAGTGGAAATGAAGTAACAAAGGTTAGGCATTAGGTGAATTTAAAAAATTTGCTTTGTTTTTCTGTATGAGCCTACGGTTTATTTGTTTTCCACCTTTTTTCATCTTTCATTTTGTCCCGACTTTAATTAAGAATCAGTGTTTATAATCCTGTGTTTCATTGTATTTGCCTCTGCATACAATATTTGCATGTGGGGTTGGCTTTTCCCTTCATCTTTTCCTACTTGAACAAACATGTTTACATTGTATGTATAGACAAACAACACTAAGACATTGAGACGCAATGAAATCATTTAAATAGTTGAAAAAATTTGAAAAAAATATAAAGGAAAAGATGCTTTCATAATGCACTTACGTACTTAGTTAACTGTACATAAAAAGAACGCTATTTGCACACATGTCTGCATGACCTATATACTTTACAACAATTTATACAAGAAAAGATATATATATATATATATGTACATGCAATTTCCTATAGAAGATAAAAGGCAAAAAGCGGCATATATGCGGTCGGCATTTCTTCTTCTTCTTCTACTCTTTCTATCTCTCTCTCTCACACACTTTCTCTTTGATGATTATCCCATTTTAGTCTTAGAAACCCCGTTGATTTTGAAGGAATTAGGACTAGTTAGTATAAATCGAACGTTACAGTAAACAGCAGTCAATCAATCAACACTGACAATTTGAAGGATGCATCGAAAAAATGAATAATGAAATCACTGATTTATGTTGATGTATGTCATTTTTGTTTTTTACGTGTAACTGTGTACGACTCACATATGTATACTTCAGTATAGCAGATGGAGATTGTTATATTAATAAACTGCAAGGAATTACAGATAGAACAGTACTTTATATATATATATATATATATATATATATATATATAAGATTTTCAGATGCACATGAAAATTCCGGACTTCCCGTTCATGTAACTAACTGCTATTTGAACAATGAATATTATAAAAGATCATATTCACAGACAGTACCTGATATAACAAAAGTAAATAAATCCTCTAGCCTAAAGTTGCTAACTATTCATGTAAGTGAAAGAAAATCCCACAACTGTCATTCAATCCGACGTACTGCCTAGACGATTTAGTTTCATTAGAAAACATTGTTTTATTAAGACTTCTTGTTTACATTTAACTCAAGCAATTGAAAAATACTATAACAGCATAAAAAAAGTTAAATATTTTCAGCATTTTTTCATAGTAAACGTTAATTGTGATCCTAAATAAACTATGTGATCTATTCATTTTCGGTGTTTTTTAACACTATTTCCTTTGTACTCGCCTTGTCTATATATATATATATATATAAACCACTTTTCAATGATTCGTGAACTAGAATGCTTCCAAAATATCCTTCACTTTGATCTTAAGTCAGCGAAGTGTTTGTTCACAAACTGAATTCAGTTGAAGTGAATGAATACGAGAGAGAAAGTCAATGAATCGTTGAACTTGACCTTTGGAACAAATTTTTCTCGGTTTTGTGTATGTTTGCACACCTGTATAAACGTTGTGTATTTCTTGTAAAATATAAACACTGGATTAATAGAATAATTAAGTGAAACTTCTAATGAGAATAATAATAATAATAGTTGTTATAATTACTATGTTTATTTGAAAATAGTTCACTTCGATTTTGTAGACTTTTTCAATACTATTTATAACCAAATAAATTTTTTGTTCATTTGTGAAGGATGCAATAAAGAAAGAATAATATTTGACCTTCTTTTGATGTTCGAATGTAGTAAAAGCCGACCAAACATCTGGTTTATGATTAGTACTACTACTATTATTATTATAGCTATCACCAATAATTTTGTAGCTCCTTTTGTAACCATAGTGGCAGTACTGAACATTCTGTATTGGTTTTCTAAATAAAAACTGAAAGAAAGAAGAGCATGAACTAATTTGTACACTTCAAGGTAGGCCTCATCACCAACAAAAATCTTAAAGTGGACCACTGAACACCTATTATTGATTAGACAGCTGTTTCTTTTTCTTAGACGCTGCACAAATGGTGTCCATTATGTCAAAGACTATCAGATCCATAAACTGCTAGCTAAAACAAAATATAGGAGAAATATTCATTCAGTCATCTATGAAACACAAAATAATTGAGCAAAGAATATCCTTTTCGATAATTTCCTCTTCTGGATCAACAATTAAATATATGTTTATATACATAGAATATTCTAGAATGGTAGTCAATAACAATATTAGCGATTTTTAAATAGTATCGATTTGTTAAGTAAGATCATAGTGAAATTACAGTTCATTAAAGATGCCTAAATTATAATAATAACAAAGAAATAGTAGGAAATAGAATATCAACTAAAATTAGGAAAATTCCACAAAAATTGAGGATCATTCAAACCTAGACGGCCAAGGTAAGGATAATATCTGAACTAACTTCTTTTGGATGCACAAATTAGGCTTGTTAATATGGATCCCAACAGCTTCAGCAATATTTAGTAGTCGAACTCTTAAGGCAAAATTGGGATTCTTTGGTGTGCGGTAAGTGACCCTGAAAGCATGGTTAACGTCAATCCTGTCTTCTGTATCCACAAGATGAGATAGAATAGCTCTGTCCTTTGCTTAACCACAGAGGGTGATGTTCGGAAATTCGACGAGAAACATGCCTATCTGTACGGCCTATGTAACTGGCTCCACAGGAGTAGTTAAATTGCTAAATTCCGCTTCTTCGTGTTGCTGGTGTGTAATTACTGTTACTTACCATTTGGAAAACAAAAGGACTCTTTGATCTTCCTTCGTTTTTGTGGTAATCTAACTGATTTCAGCATGTGAAGAAAAGATTACGATCAATTAAGGTTTTAACGAACTTAACACCTGAAGAATTTATACGTTTTGTAATATCTGATAATAAGTTGCATGCAGTTATTTCGGTTAACGGTAGTTAAATTTCTTTCCAAAGAGACTGACCTTCAGTAGATAATTGCTCTGAAATTCATACTTTAAATGTAGACAATCGGTCTTACTTGGCGTAAGCCGATCAACAATAAACGCTGCTCTAGGAATAAATGTTCTTAAAGTTTCTAATACAAACGATTTTTGTGGTACTGAGCAAACCAGACATCTTTAAAAACTGGAAGGTCTTCTGTTCTATACTGGTGTAACAAACCAAATCAGTAAGTTATTTCACAATAATTACCGTTGTAATTTAATGTGTGACTTGGGTGAAGGTGATACTACGTCAAACAACCGACTCTTTAAGTACCATTTACTTAAAAGTCTAAAAAACTTCAACAGAAGAACAGTAAAGTCGGAGAGTCTTTTTAGATAATTTCTAAAATCTTAACAGGTCTGTTAAAGTTAGACTCTGAATGACTGAAATATTTTTTAATAGTTTAAATGTACTTAGATAACACTTCTAAAATGAAACCAAAAAACGTAATAATTTAGTTGGTAGACAGCAGCTAATGATGTGTTTTAAAATCTACACGGAGAAATAAACTCCATCAATTAGTTACGTATATTCTGACTTTGGTTGGATCTGAAGCACTTCGGGTATTGTTGAGCACTTGAAAACATTCATCACTAATTTTTACATCTAGATTTTATCCATCTTGAAAACCAGTACTTCAGCAAGTCGGGAAACGGAGAAAAATTATATTGCATTAGGAACCCTAAACCGCTGAATTCCGAACGAATGAAATGTAACAGTGACAGTCAACTAGCATACTAACACTCATTTTTCAAATGAAAATCAAAGCTTTTCTGTGCAGTTATAGGTGCTGGGCGGTTTCTACTGATGAAGTTTACGATAGAGTTAAGAGGTTATATCAGCAGTCATGAAGCATAACTTCGATTAGTGGTATATTAGAAAACTAATAAAAGAATGAAATAGTTCCGCATTCATCTATATGATTCATCCGTTATTTCATGGAGAATCACTCAGTTTTAGAAGTCTGGATATGCATTGTCTTAAAATGAGCAGGCAACATTTAGGTATTAGAAGTATGTACTTGTATGGGTAATTTTATCAACTGTTTAGTTCAGTGAAAATCGTCAATTTTCGATTTTTTTTTTGAATTTCCCACAGTAAATATACTCTCGAATCAAATTATAAAAGAAAAATGGGAATTGTTGAGTGGATTCTAGTTTTAATCATTAGTATTATTCACCCTTCTCATGAAAAGCCACATATATTATTTAGGTGAACAAGCAGTTCGTGTCTAGTCCATGATCAAGAATTAACAGAGTAAAGTTAAAACAAATGATTCTGTCTTTGAGTACAGGACCAGTTTGTTTAAATGATATACCACAGTTTGGCATTTATATGTCATCATGTTCTTTATATAACTGATTTATTAGCGATCCCTAGCGAAATGTGAATTTTTTCTTATCCTACAGATTATGCATTCGTGTCAACTGACAACTGCCACCTCACAAATTAGTCGTCCTTCCAAGCAAACGAGTATGCCGCACTCAGAATTCTGTGTTAAAGGATTGTGAGTCCGCTGGCGGACGTTTACTTTCATGGCACTATTTCACAACTATAAGTCTAATCATCATAACATGGATGAGTAGTGTTAAAGCCAGACCGAATTATAAATCCTTTTTACATACAACAGATTTAAATATTCATACAGACCGTATTGACACTGGTCAAAATGACTGGCAGTCGAAAAATCTTATTGTCGAACCCTGGGAACCTCTTACAAAACCAATGGAAAATGAACGAGATAAAATGGCCATGGCAAGAGACGAATGGAGTCAAGAGAAGATGATGCTGAACGATTTGAGACTACAGCATCAGTCACACAAATTATATTTCTTGAATAGTGCTGGTGCACGATGCAATGACGGTTCACCAGCTGGGTATGTTGTCACATTTTTCTGATGAAAATTAACAAATCTAGACAATAAATTTTTTTAATGAAAAGGTCAAATTGTATATATTATATAAACTTAGTAAAATCCTTCTGTTTTAAGTCTTAATAAAATTAGTTTGTATTTGAAAAAGCAAACAAAGTCTGTTTCCAAGGAGATTCAATAACTTCTGAAGTGAACTGAGTTTTATGTCCTGTAGAATTGGGGTTTCCATTTAGATGAAATAATTCATAAGTACATACGTGTTAATAGATAATTGATTGAATTTATTAGCATGCAAATTGAAGTGACGATACAGTAGAATCGATAAAATTGCTTAGTTTCAGTTGCTTTCCCTTGAAGACCTTTGAAAGACGAGTTATCTTATTGACTGGGTAAGAATATGAAAGGGCTAAACTGTTTGTTGCGAGTGGCTAACGCTACACCACCTTTTGTGTTTTTCATTCCAATAATAGTGAGCTGGTAAATTCCGATATGAAGTGTCATATTTTACTTTCAATTTAAACTCAATTACTCTCACATGAAATTCAGGCAATTCTTTGAAAAACATTTCTAAGGCTGCTTGTGCAATCGATGCCAAGAAAAAGCATTTCATGCTTCGTTCTGGAGCATTTCAACAAAATACTACTTTAACTCTCAAGGATAGTTGGTGGCTCATTTCATTCTTCTACATTTTCACCAGCGACGTTTTAACTTTTTTAGATATGCATCTAGTTTCCGTCGTACATAATAAATAGTTTTTTTTGGTTTGAATATCTACAAGCGGGATTATAAGAAGAAGTGTTGCGTGGCTACAGCAAATGCACAGGCAACTGTATGCCTCAATCACTCTAACAACAGTTTGACAGTACTGTCGTTGGTATTCAACTTCATAAAGTGATGAAACAATTTCACATTCCAAGACTTTAAGAGTGACTACTTTGTAACACATTATACTAACCACTTAACGACTACTGATATGTTCCGTTAAGGTGCACATCTTGCTGTGCATTATGATTGTCTATTAAACAAAGAGTGAAGTTTAACATGATCCTAGGTCATTTATATTAGTGATCACACAGATAGAAGTTAACCTTACCATGATGTACAGTAAGGTGGAATTTACTATCTAGCTTACTAACTATGTCATGAAGCTGAAACTTGAAGGGATAATTTGAGAGCCGAATAGTTTTGTAATCATGCATTTGACTAACTATTACCCAAATAGCAAAATAAGCACACTATAACTTTCTTGGTAATTGTAAATATTTCCCACCTAATAATTTTAACAATTATGTAATCGGTAATTGTTCAGCAAGCTGTTATTTATGTAATGGGTGATGGCTGGATGTGGAATAAAATTTACATTCCCCACTTAAAAATGTTTGTCTTTAGGTGTATGAAAGCAGACAAAACAAAAAGTTCATGAATAAAAATCATATGAAAGATTACCTTGTGATTTTTGAACATTCCATATCTTCAACTCTTTAAAAAGGTTGTTATCAACAATAACAATACTGATTTTATTATCGTAAAGCTAAGTAATATTCTAATCACATAAAAATGGTAAGCTTATGTATAACCAATCGACTTTTAGCAGTCTTTATCCCTGATTAGTCAACTTCTGGTTGACAGGCACTGAAATTCGTGAGGTTATTTGATTCCTACCCAGTAGATGAATGATTATATTTCCTTTATAAATTTTGACGTTTACTGACCTCTTCATCATATAGTATTATGGGTACGACCTGCTGACCGCTTATTTACTAGAACTAGATTGTATTGACAAATGTCTTATTTTCATTTCTCTCTCATCATATTGAAGTGCTATTTGTTTAACATGAAGTCAACTGCAGTTTGATGAGAGTTGGGTTAAGTAAAACTAAGCAAATTCCTGATAATGAAGTTATTCATTAACTCAAACTAACAAAACTGACCAAATACTATTTAAAAGATTTAAAACTTAGTACACGAGCATCGGTGGCATAACGGTTAGGACGCTCACCGATCATGCATATGGTCCGGGGTTCGATCCTCGGCTGGTGCACTCCTTTACCTCGTTAAGCCAGAAATAATGCTGGTAAAGAGGGAAGGTTGGGCATGAGGCTAGCAACCCCATCCTGTAAAAATAATCACTACTGCTACAGAAACCTCAAGACTCTAGCTTGAAGCCCTATGTTCCACCGGGGAACATGAAGGAAAAAAAACACGAGCATCTGTATACACTGATGAATGTGTTTGTTCTAATTGTATTCAACGAAGTCTATTGATTAGGTGTATTTCACGATAAATAACTTAACCGATATAACACTTCTATTCTGTACGAGAAGAGCTTCAGATTGACATTTGAATCTTCTCTTGACTGATTGCTCACGATGTAGACTATAAGTATCATATTCAGTGCTACAAAGACTGTTATTTATCTCTTGATTCTCTGTTTGTTTTGAGTTCACTGTGGATATGCTTCACATGACATATTACTGAAAATTGGTTGGATAATTAGTGTACACTGATACACTACAAAACAAGAACTAAATGCATAATTATTGTTAACTAACATATCGCCACTTGATTGGTAAACTGTAGCGTATTGTAATAAAAATGCTACATATATTAGAGCAGAGTCAGAGATGAGGATCTAACTGAAAAGTAAACATTTCTTCGCTCAATCTTTCTGTTTTTTAAATGCATAAACATTTTTCGTTAAACAAAAGTAAGGTTATTAATATTTGTAATTTATTTAATCCCATATTCTACATTTTCTTCTTCATCTTATCCAATTTTAGTTATTATTATCGTCCAGCGAAACATACCACAGTGAAAAACTGGATTGTATTTCTTGAAGGTAAATTGAGATTTTTTTTCAATGAGTGTTTATCTTACTTGTGTTGTTCTATTTTTAGGCGGCTGGTATTGTTTCGATGCAGAAACCTGTTTTCTAAGAGAATCCAATGCCTTTTCATTGTTCTCTTCAAAATTTTGGCCTAAAACACGATCACGTAAGACAAAGAAGTTATACTTATTTTAGAAATAAATTTGATTTGATGGTGGGGATATTTTATTAAAATAGATAAATCCTAATTTGCAAACATATTCAAACCTGAAGTTATGCCAGCCGAAGATAGTTCTATCATTTAGAGCGATGAATAGTAATGCCAGTTCAATTTCACAGTTATTGACTCACTCCATGATACAAGTTTCGTACAACAGACAACGAATTAGTAGTTTAGTTTTGTGATTATCAAATAATTATAGGTATATTTATGATAGACATAGTAAATCCTCCGTTAGCGACCACTTTAGTGGTTATTATATATATATATATTACTTAGTGATGAGTGCTAATAAACAGGTAAACCAAATGAAACGGAGTTCTTATAGGCTACCTGCAACAGATAAACATAACACTATTCAGAGGGTGGAGAGACGACATACATAAAGGACTATAGTTATCTCCACGGTCCTGGCGAGTTAATAATTTGTGACTGAAATACTGTGATATATTACAGAGGTGTTTTGAGAAGAATGATGAGTACGGTATTTCTACAGTATTTTACTATCGAAAATAATCCAAATCAATGAATGTTTTGAAATACTGAGCAACTAGCCAAGTAATATAGATAAATTTAAAGTTTTAGTCTGCCTTGTAAACTTGTGCATCCTTCAGCATCACATTTATACTTATTCAGAGGTAATCTAATATTATTTGACAGGAAACAGTCAGCAGGGCTGTCCGTTTGACCAAATTTCCATGCTTTTAACACCTGTCAGTAAGTTGAACTCGTAAAACAAAGAAAAGTGCGTCATAGTCAGACATCTGTTCATAGTTATCAGTTACTGCTGTTATTAGAGTCACCCTTAAGCTACCCACACTGTTATCCATAACTCATAGAACTAGATGAAAAACTAGAGTGGCACAGTTTGATCTACACAGCAGATTTGCTTAGGCTATGTGCCTGGGTAATTGAAAAGCTTAAATAAGGAATGATTTGTTTCTGGCTGTTTTAAGAAAAGTATCACTAAATAAAGTTTAACGTGATGAGTCTTCTAAGTAAATCCAGGCAAAAATTGGTTGGCGCATAATATAAAAAGTTAAACTCCAGTGACCAATTATCGAGATCTTTTACTAACTAATGAAGTCATTTATCTCCAGTTCAAATCTTCGGTGAATTTTCTGCACGTAGGATAAAAACAGGCGGTAATAACCAAACAAAGTGAAATTCTTTTTTCTTTTGCGAATGCATAGTATTCAAATATGCTTGGTCCGAATTGTAAACGAACTCGAGTCAAATGGAGCTTAGATTTCACATTTGTACTGATTGGCATAAAAACCATGTAACCTAACTATGTGATGGGTTGATCCTATGTGACCTTCAAACATTTTATTGGTTTAGTTTTTAGATTGTCATTCTATCTCCCATTCTGTGTTTTCTTTTCAGTTGGTGGAATTCTCTCATCTGATTCAAATGCAAATCCGTATTATCATGAGTACCACAGTGTGTAAGTTGAAGTTGATTCCTTTTGCAGTAATTTTAAAAAAATCATTGTTTAAGCAAACGCTAACGTCAAAAATCTTTATTTTTCCTTTCTCAGTTTTATTCCATACTGTTCAAGTGATTTGTGGACTGGTAAAATGGCAAATCAGAGTGGAGGTATGTCCGCAGATGAATTTATTCAATAAATGTTTAAAAATATTTTATAAAAACGAAAATCAGTCAGATTAAAGGGACCATCAGCTGTATGATATCATCGAAAGGATTAGGTTGAAATGAATTATATCATTCAGAATAGGGAATGATCACTCAGAATTAAATGAGTTATCCGTACGTTCTGTAGAATTTCGAACTTTGCATGAAAAGACTATGAGCAGCACATACTTATAAAAGTTACTCAATTTGTTTAGTATTTAAGTTTATCACTGCCGGATTTAGCTTGTATGGGTTAATTACTGGAGTAATAGCAACTGAATAAGAAACGAGGCTTCTATATGACAGAGAAATCCTGTTCCCTTAATGAATTATGGTTCATGATATGAGGGTGCCACAAACACATACGTTTGATAGGTTTTCTTTCCTTTGGACTATTTAAACGACAGATAGATTACCGAACGTTTTATGCGATTACCCACTACTAACTCCAAACATCCGAACTGGTAAAACAACGTGCCGCAATATCTAGCACCATATACTGATAGCTTCTGTTACGACGTTTTCAGAGTAAACTGATTTTGTGTTAGGGACTGGAATGTTTTTATGCACTTGCCGACTAATCAAATCATCAATAAGGTAAGTTTGGCTTTTACAAGTCAAAAATGACAGACAGCCAAGGTATGCAAGTCAAATTGAATACTGTAAATTACCACAAAACCACCGTATACTCAGCTTACACAGTTTAGATGGCTTCTAGAGCAGTTTTCATCTGTTGTCTTTTATTTTCTATATTTTAAATAGATTTTTACTTTCATGGTTCACGTATACTGGCAGCAGTTATCGATGATCTACCTTGGCATAATGCAGCATATACAGAAAAGGTTGTATTTTCAGGCTCCAGGTAGGTAACAAAAAAAAATTAAACTTTTATTTCAGTGTATTTGTTATTTGAATGTGTATTAAATACTCTGTTACTGTTAATGTAAGTTTCGGTAGCAGTGATGTTTATTTTTACACGATGAGGTTGCTGGCCTCATCCCCAACCTCCCCTCTTTACCAGTCTTACTAGTGACTTAGCAAGGTAAAAGAGTGCGTTGGCTGCGGATAGAACCCGGAGCCACAAGCGAGGTTAGCGAGAATTCCAAGGCTGTGCTACCGACGCCAGTGTAATGTAAACAACTATAATTTAGTATAATATAAATAACAGATTGTCTTGTATCAATCATCTAATGGGAGAGGACATTTCAAAAAGCATCACGTTATTACATAGCATTTACAACCTAACTTACACTGATGTGGTACATCTGATTCATAGTAGCGTTATACTTTCAAAAGAATTTTGTGCTTTAATTGTTTCAAAGAAAATTTTTTTTATTGAAAATGGAAATTTTCATTATCGCATAAAGAACATGCTGTTATATTGCAAAGATGACTGAAAGACACTTAATCTTCACATTAAGAGTTGACTGCACTGCCCTTCCTTATAAAATGAAATACCTTTTGGAATTCTAACCTACATTACCTACTCTCCCATCAAATTTTTGCAACTGAGAAATCCCAGTAGTCATAAAAATTATGTCACATTAAGTTTCATGACAATCATTTTCTGCAGTTTATTACTGAACCTAAATGAACAAGTGAGAGACAGTCTTCAGTCTATGGAACAACATGATCTACCATTTGTGAAGCAATTTTTGTAATTGAAACTATTTCGCATTGAGTTATTTAGTTACATATGCTATTCTGGACCTGTTTAAATTCTGTGGGAAAATTAAAACTTGGGAGGAAAGCATAAAAAATAAACAACTGAATTCATTTCTTTAAAGATAACGGGACCTAGTACATTGTTTTTAAGCATAATTTATGTTTCTGAAAACAGACAGCAGATACCTATACAGTCCCCTACTAAAACGCACAGGCTTAGTGTTAAGTACCACCGGGTAATATGATTAGTTCTTGCTACATAGACAGACGTGTGTGCAGTTATTCGATATTGGCTATTAAGAAACCAGAGATTCATCTTTCAGTAATCCATGGAAGTGATGAAGACTCAAATGAATCTATTATCTCACAATGACTTCTTTCTCTGTAGTTATTTAGGATATGGAATTATTGTACGTCGGTGGCACAGTGGTTAGGACTCTCGCCGAACATGCACATGGTCCGGGGTTCGAGCCCACGCCGACGCACACCTGATATCTATGGTCGGCCTGCGAAATTTGGGCTACCGATATCCACGCGGAAAATTCCATACTTGTACCAAAATACAGTGTGGAATCAAGCTGTAATCAAAAATTAAAAAAAAATTAAAAAAATCAAATTAAAATTGTAATGAAATAAGCTTATATGACGGTCAGCAGCACCAGTGAGTAAGCAGTTAGCTCGTATATAGTAAATATAAGAATATCAATAATACTTCAAACGAAAACACAACATCTTTCGTTAAAGTTTTTAAAATTGCAATATTTGCTATGGATAATGCACCGGAACATACCAAAGTAAGGCTGCTACAGTGCAAAACCAATGAACGGAGTTATAGATAACAGTGTATGCCTTTAGATATATACATATATATACATGCGTGATTTTGGAGACCATGATCCTACAGTGCGTCGGTGGCACAGTGGTTAGGACTCTCGCCGACCATGCACATGGTCGGGGTTCGAGCCCTCGCCGACGCACACCTGATATCTATGGTCGGCTACCGATATCCACGTTGAAAATTCCATACTTGTACCAAAAATACAGTGTGAAATCAAGCTGTAATCAAAAATAAAACAAAAATACAGTGTTAATTTCATATTCGGGTGGATAGAAATGCTAAAAATCTTTTCTCTGAAAATTTTTTGCCTGATTTCATCTAACTGTGTAGTACTATACATGACGACTCTTGTAAAAGCCAGTAAAATAACATTTGTTACATGTCAACAGTCCAGAAGTTTTACATGACATTGAGCTCTGTCTTGCTGAAACTTATCAGAAAAATATACTCATCTCCTTGGAATAATCAATGATCAAGAAAAATATCTAAAAATGATATTACTTTCTTATCGCCCCCACAAAGAAGTGACTCAGATCACAAATAATCTTTCGAATCATTTACAGAACTCATTCAGTCAGCACAACAATAACTACTAGCAATACTACTTCCACTGACAGTGAAACTTTGAACTAAGCGACAACTTTATACTGGTGAAATAATGATTCATTAAATTTATTCCAATAAACTTTTTGCACAAATCAGCTTAAGATTGAAAAAAAATTATTTTTCTCTTTTAGTCTTTAGATAATTTTCATATTGTTTTCTACATCGTGCTATTTCAGTGCTGGTGGGATAGGCGTTCTAATGAATGTAGATAGATTAGCTCGAAAATTATTCACTCGTATCGGACATCCTGTTCTAGTAAGCGGAATAATAGATTCCTCTTGGTTTATTCACATACCAGCCTATCAAGAAAGTAAATGTATAAACGCATTCGAATGTCCACCCGAGGAAGGCATTAATCGAGGAATGAAGTGAGCAGTTTTTTTCTGTGAATCCAAATTTTCCGTATAGTCAATTTATAATTTCTATAATAGTCGTATGTTTTAGTATTTAACTATTTTTCAACTTTGTAGCGTATTATGTGAGATTTCGGGTAGTCATTGCTGGTTCTGTCCCAATAAATCCCCAGCATCTTGACAATGTTAGTTGTATTCAACTTGTTAGGTGTTAGTCTAAGTCCTCTACTTTCAATTTCTATTGTCATAAAAACTTCAACTGGGGAGGGGGAAGTCGAAGTTTTCACGCGGTTGGTTTTTCACAAATGCGTTTTATGTCTTAACCTGATCACCTCCAAAATCGCAACACCTTTTTGAGCAATCTAAGCAAGAACAAGCATGAAAGGGAATCATTTTCAGGTATATTTATCAAATATTCTGTGAGTATCTCACTCAGTCCCATTCATATCATTTTAAACAAAGACTGCATTCTTAATATTATTCCAGACAGTTTACAAAATCAAGAAGATCTCTTCCTGAAAGTTTTTCCATGTGAGTTATGGCATCTTTAGCAAAAACACGTATTTTTAAAATACCTAAACATATTATCAAACAGTATAGTCAAAACGTACTGGTCGATCATAGTTAATCTAACATTTAATAACAGAAGGTGACATTGAGGAGCATATTGTGAAATTTCTGAAGTGCTCCTACAAAGACATCCATCCTACCATTATGAAACGGTATTCCTTTGCTGCGAGGCTAATTTTTTTCACTTTTATGTCCAAGTAACACTGTCTATCATGTACTCAGTCATTAAAATTTTTTCTGTACAGTCTAAAGACTGATAATTAGAAATAAGTAAATCCTACACTCATTACCTTGATAGAATATAACTTACTGGTCTAAAATGAAAGTTTAAGTAATAATGTATGTAAGTTTAGCAGTGATTGAAATAAATTCTTGTTTTTCTAAATCACTGGCTCTTTTCAGGTTTTAGATAAGCCTTAAAAATTTAAGCTAACATCCATGAAACCTGTGAGTGAGGATAAGGGCTGTTACTATGTGTTTTCGCGCGTGGAATAGCAAACGTCACAAAGAATATTCTAGCTGCGTGAAACATTTGACAGAATGTCTTTCAAGCAGCCAAACATAACATATGATGTGATTGCGGCATTCCTTTAGCCCTATAACTCTAAGTCAACTACCTGTGGGAGTTCGAACCTCAATTGACCGCCTCCATTCCGCCTTTACTGGAACGAAAGCGCGGCAAGCTTGATTCGCGATAGTGTATATCCTCACCCGAAACGTGTTTCATATCATTTTGCAATTAGTTATACCAGCGTTTTCAATAAGTTAGTTGTTTTAGACAACTATTTTAGTTCCGGTCCTTCATTCATTTTCACCAATACTCCACCTAAATTAATTAAACCCTATCCATAACAAAATTACTTTCTACCAGAAATTACCATTTTCCGTAAAGGCTTAACTCGTTTAAAACTACCTGTTTATATCACAGATTTTGGAATGCCAGAATACCGAAACCTTGTCGTAAGGCACATCCAAAAGGACAAAAGTGGAAGTGTTACCTGGCTCCATTCATGTATCCACATTTGAGAAGTAAGTATATTAACTGTTGAAATTCATCTACTTTTCAAACAATGAATTTCCTTAAATGTATAAATTTTTAAAGCTTTTTTAAACATACAATAAATTAATTAACTTAATGTTTAACAAGTGCAGATAAGCAGAAATTGAGCGAAGAAATATTTACTTTTCAATCAGATCCTCATCTTTGGCTCTACTCTAATATATATAGCATTTTAATTACAATACACAACAATTTACCAATCAAGTGGCGATATGTTTGTTAACAATAATTAAACAGTGTCAATGGGTTAATAGTTAACGAAGAAAATCACTTGATTGGCAAACTGTTATATTGTAATTAAAATGCTATATGTATTAGAGTAGAGCCAAAGATGAGTATCTAATTGAAAAGTAAATATTTCTTCGCTCAATCTTTCTGTTTTCTAAATGCCTAAATAAGCAGAAATTATCAGGCTGAGAATTACCGCAACTGCTTGACAGATAGACTGGCTATATATAAGATCGTGTCATTATTCTAATAAGGAAGAAATCATAATATAATCAAGCCTTTCAGGCCTGCAGATAAATAGAAAGAAAGTTACGGCTAATGACATATGATCGCACCATTTAGAAGAGGATGTGATGTCAATGCATTTATGCCACTACAATGAATTTCAAACTATACTATTTGACATCTGTATCTGTTTTAAAAATACGAACCTCCAACTGTGACATAAATCCTGATTGTGTTGGCCTACACCATACAACATGCATTAAGTCAGCAACCAATACCTTTATGAATTGAAATCTTGTCTTGTTTTGATCAATGTTTACTTTCCACCCAGCTTAACGGAAATCAATCTAAGACTGGAATTTACGGTAAGCGCTCGTTCCCTGTGTGCAAAACAATTTTCAACTACTTTATATCTCATTTACATACTGATTCACCGAAACGTTTATGCCAGTCATAAGCAAAGCTGGTGGAACTGACAAAATGAGATGATAACAGACTACTTAGAAGCTTCTCAAAATGTTCAAGGAACATGTTTCACAGTTATGCATAAGAAACAACTGTCTAGCAAGCATTACACGTGAAAAGTTGTATGTTTTGTCCGTAAAATATAAAAAATTCGGTGAATAGATTCCTTTAAATTATATTAAACGGTTCTTTGAATTATTTAAAAAGGTCTAAAATAAAGTTGTTTCAAAGATTGAACTTATTTGAATAAGTAAGTCAGTTGAAGTGAACATGTTCTGAGGCCGAAAATTAAGAACACATAACAGCATTTAAGTGGTCGTCATCGCTAATACGTTATTTCCCGTCAAAGTTCTTATCTGATAGCTACTAGTAGTCTAAAGCAAAAGAAAATCACTGGTCAGAAGCTATCAGAACAAGAAAAGATTTCTTCTGTTGACTGGAATTTCACAGTTAGATGAAAGTGAATCTCAACAGGATGTGTAACTCCGATAGACATGAGAAGTCATTAGCCTTGAATACAATGCTGTCTATTCGTTTGTTTCACAGGGCTCCTAGGTCACTGATAATTGAATAATTACGTATAGGTACTGAGCGGAAAGTATAGATTGGTTGGTATTTAATACTCATGATTATTTCGTCAACGAAAGTGTTTACCCTGTCTGGTCATGAGAATCTCTCCAATATTAGTACATCTTTAGTTTACATTTTTGGTACTGTTTGGTGACATAACAAACAATGCCGGAAATATATAAACTAAATTATATGAAGAGGAATAGTCTGACACATGCTCAAATACTAAAACCTTAGGAACTCTTGCAGACAGCCTGATATTCAGTAAGAAATACATTTGGACAATTACACATGAACCATTATGTGAACAAACAAACTGTTCGAAGACTGAGCAGTGATAGATGTGTGCAACATATTTTGACCAGTGTGATCACGCATTTACTTGTCGGTTCAGTTAGTCTAAAAGTGAAAAGATGGAAGTCTAACCAAGTTAAAGAAAATATTAGATCTTTAAGATTAGTAAGGAGGGTTATAACTGACACTACCTTGGTAATATAGTCAGACAGGGATTACGAAGTTAGATTATGTGTAACAACAAATTTACTTTGGATGTAAATGGCGGAGGAGTTGGTATAAACCTTACAAATGACTATCACCTCAGCACCGTTGTAGGCTTTCATATAGAATCTCGAAGTTTATTTTGAAATAAATGTAAATCAATAATAGTCTTGGTTATAGACTAAGGCTGGAAGCCAACTACTTAATCTTATGCAGGTTTGAGAACTGAATAATCTATTATTACCCTCCTGACTTTAAAATCTCATATTATTTTGTCCATCGTATTTGTCTTTCTTTTATTTTTTAATTTTCTTATAAAGTCTGTTGACAGGTGGATCTGTGGTCAAAGTGTGTAGCACTAATGCAGCACATTTTTTAAATGAACTCTATCTTTTAATAATGCTTAGCCAGTTTATTAAAGTGACTAATTCTTTCAGATTGTAATGATAGATGTACACTGCAGTAACAGCTCAAGGGTATACAAAGTACACGCATGACAACTGACCTTTACGTTTTCAGTTCATCTAAACTTTACTATGGTTGTCAGATGTTAGACGGTTATTGTTGGACGAACACCGAAAAAGTGAAAAATGCTTTGTAACTTTCTGTTCGCTTTCCTTCATGGTTATTTTTGTGGCACAAGTGAACTGCATACGATGGAACCTAAGTCTTCATGCAAATACGATACAATATCCAACGTTTTCAAAAGCATTAAGATATCGCTTAATTACTATATTTAAGACAATTTTTTCTTGTGTCTCAAAAAGAACCAACTGTTCAATTGTGAATTTGTTCACTAAAAAGGCACAAGCGAATACACCACTGTTCTCCAACACTATAGGCAGTATGTATGTATAGATTACGTAATAGTTTGGGTCATTAATATTAGATAATTAGGCAGTAAGAGCATATTTTTCTAAAAATTCGATTCATTCTTTCAGCTACCTCAAGTTCCAGCATCTACTATTGTTTCTTTTTATTAAGCTCCGGTGTATATTGTGCAAAGTTTATTCGATGAAGCTCAAATGCAAATGTCTAAAGTCCCATTACTCACTGGTGGAACCTATTCAAAATGGGCTTATATACAAAATTTAGGCAAAGAAGTAGCACGCAGTCTTCAGTCAGCAGGGTTAGTTGTTTTTATTTGTGTACATTTTTTCATTAAATCGGTTAATTAAACGATAAATACACTATCATTTTCTGTTTTAAAGATAAAGTGAGTGTATATGGAGTAAGTTTTGATGGAGGCACGTGGATCTGAGGTGAGACATTTTGGTCTGAAATATCAAACAGAGGTTACATAATACCACACAGTTATGCTTGGATTTTGAACGGTAATGATCTTCATGTTAACATAGAACAGTGTTTTGTAACAGAGGTATTGACGGCTAGATTATGCCATTTGAAGTATCTGTCTTTCTGCAATTGAGATTTTAGTTTTGAAGTCTGGTTGAGTGGAACTAGTTGCATCTTGTCTCTTTTTTCAGTCTAACTATATAAGAATAGGTGTAAGTTGAAATAACTACTATTTTACCACTGTGATTAGTTGAAAACTAACCTACCATTTAAATCCAGTGATAATCTATTCGAAAATGAAACACTCTAGTCAATTTGTTAACTTTCAGGACCCCAATATTTAGCATACTTCATGCATAAGCTATGTGTGTTCTATGTTCTGTTCAGAGTCCTAAAAGTCTAGGAATAGTCTGGAAAGCAGACAAAATCAGTGAGTGATTGCGGCGACTCAGAAACGATGTTCAAAAGATACAGTTAACATGTCTTTTACACGTACAGGCATTGAACAAAGATTATTTCTCAAGAAAAGTATAAACCGTTACACTGAGAACAGTTACTCCCTTTGTTCTTTAGAAAAGATGATTCTTAAAAATGAACAATTACTACTGTCTCTTAAATAAAATGAATACCTCAGTTGCAAGCCATTTACGAAGTAAAATTCTAAGACAAAGAACTTCTTTGAGTCTTCGAACTGACGAAGCTAAAAGGCAGGGTAGAAATTCACTCTCATTCGAAAAATATTCAGCTATACAAGACGCTACGTTTAATCTTTAGCCTGAAAATATCAATGGCATCATCCGTATGTATTCTGTAGTAAACTAAGACTATGTGGTAGATGTAGCAATTGAATTGCAATGTTTTCTAACACGCAAATTCTTTTTTCTCACTAGGATAGAAGTACTTCTGATCCAATGATATATTTCCTGTGTTCCAATTCTATTTGAATGTTTTTTCTGTTTACAGGGGTGTATTTGCTCCTTCATGTCTGGACCACGAAATCCTAACTAAAAAGTAAGTGTGCGCAAATTTTTTTCAAGTTATTAAATTAAAAATTTGAAGTGTTCTTTGTTAATCCTTGTAGCGATAAGTATTCTGCAATTATTACAATAAGTATGATAACAGAATTCATTAGAAGTCAAATCAATAGTGGATTCATACTTTACATTCAAAACAATTTGCACCTTATGACTCAATTTCCAATCCGTTAATATGTGGTATCTCACGTAGATAAACTCAAAGTGGATAATGCGTACACAGTCGGATACACTAATAGGAGCACAAAATGAAAATATCTCGAACTGTAAATTGCTTTCAAAATAACCAGCTACTGGAAGTTCGTTGATCACAATCGGTTTCATCAACTAGGTTTTGAGTATGTGTTCCGATAATACTTCACCTTCATGAAAAATACCCATTTATTCATAAGTAAAAATACAGTTTTTTGTTCAGCAAAGAAATTTCTTTTCAACGACTTCATTTTCAAGCTGTACAGTCGTATTTATATTACAGAAAAAGGTTATTAAGTGGCACTAGATAATTGCTCAGTCGACATACATATATATGTGATAAGGATATTTTCACATTTGAAATTCCTGTATAATAAATGTTATCAGATGGCCAGTAAATATTCAAATAAATCTAAATGCCAAGTACCTTCAGACTGTATGAAAACTAATTAATTTCGACCTGCACAAAAACAGATCAGAGCAAAACACCTCACATAAGTGCATCATCTCATATTCAGCTTATCTATGGCCCTATATAGTGTAAATTCTAGTGTTCTTTCTGATGCATACCATAACATTTAACTGTCTCCGACTCAATTTCCCGTTAAGGTAAGAGTCTTGGTCTTCTTTCAGTACTCAATTACTACAAGACTGTGACAGGAAAGTTTCCATCATAATATGGCAGGTGAAGTTATCTCACGATGAGTACTAGGAGGAAGTTAGTCGATTTCGTGTAACCTTTATGAAAGACGCAACTTATATTATTCTTTTCATTATGATCACTATAAGCATACTTTCTTATTTTGTTTTCCTTCACTACATCTTTCTACCTCACAAATCTTCAACAATTTTTAGTAACTGGGTCCACAAAATGATCGGGACAATCAGCCTGGTGAATGCAATCAAAGCATGGGATGACGAGTTGGAGAAGTAAGAAAGATATATTTCGCCTTACAATAATCATTTCTCAAACCTATTTACCTTCATATTTTCATTTTAATAATATGCAGTTATCATTGAAAGTTCAAGTACATTTGCGGTTCAGCACTAGATATTGTAAGTTTGAACTTCGAACTTGCTCTGAGCTAGTATACACTCATAAGTTGAATGACAGCTATTTGATAAACTCATTGTCTGGATGTTTGACTCCATACATCTGAAAACTTCTGTCAAAGTGATGTGAATTATTATATGTGAATATGATAAAACGCAGACCGGAGATTGTAGAAAGTGAACTGACGACAGCGCAAATTAATATTAAACTACTCCGCAAATTAGACTAGGCTAGCATTAAATATTAGATAATATTTAAACTAATTATTCACAGAATGAGTACTAATTCTAATTTAGTCCTGTTCAGATAGTGAGTTACTTAGAAGTAATACTTATGAATGGATCGCTGAAGGATGAATATTCATATCTCATTTATGGATTGACTAATTTGATACAACAGAAAAGTAAAACATGGGCACTTTGATTGTGTCATTTCACGTTAGTTTGCTTATTTTATGTAGCAGACTGATATGATATTATTTACTAGATGATGTTCTGATCACAGTTCTTGCCTTAGTGTGAACTAAAACTACCAGGTTAAGTATAAATCACTAGGATATTTCAGTATATGTGGCACTGAAGAATGCTAATAAAGCAACTGACGAAAATGTTATGCTTTGTTATGCTTAATTATTCAGTTCAAGCGCCATGATTGCTGTATATCCCATATTAATTTGTTAACTGTATATATCAGACAGTGTAGGAGAATTGTTATTCTGTGAATGATAATAATATCATTCATAATAATATCCATCACTTGAATAATATCATTGTTAAACACGTCCGATAAACAAATTGATATGGAAGTACACACTATCACACTGCCCAAGCTTTAAGTATATATCAAGTTTTGGAAGATTTTGTGAACCTTAGCAACCCGAAAAGAATAATAACCAGGATTACTTTCCAAACTATGATCACAGTAATCGTCATTTTTACAAGGAAGAAGCGTTCAGCAATATTTTAGGGGAAAACGCGATAGTTTAGCAGAATTACCTTAATTATTATTATTGTTCCCTTGGGTTCCTAGTGGAACATAGGGCTGCAACTGCACGTCTCCACTTGCTTCTGTCTTTTGCTGTACTTTTCACTTGCATCCACGTTAGTCCATACTGTTTCAACTCCTCTTCACATGATCTCCTCCATGTCACCCTTGCACTGATGTCCCACTCGCCTCTTCCCGAATTACCTTAATTAGCTTGCACATTTGTAACTAGTATTACAGCCATGAAGTAATGACTTAAGTAGTTTAACACAAAGTTGAATCCTGATGCCATTTGGATGTTTCTGCACCAGCTGAAGTGTCACACAGAACTGCTATTAAGTAAATTGAGCTTTACAGACACAACTAAATACTCGGAATTATACCAAGGTAAACATACAACATAATCAAGAATCCTTATTAATATTAAATGTCTCTATTTTTTTCCATTTTTGTCTAGACACTGGGTAAGGCAGAAATTGTTATACTTTTCAATACGCTATCCTAATGCTCTAATTAAAACGCAACAGTTGAGCGCAAATCATCAGTCTACCGATACGAGTAATCCCCTAGGATCGGAGTCACAGGAAAGTGTTACAAAGGCAGCAACAGCTACAGAAACAACGACTACAAGTAATTCAACTCTTGTATTTTTATCTCGACTCGTCAATTTACTAAACCAACATCCTAGACGTCTTAAACGAAGTTCAACGATCAGTTCCTTGGACGATATCAAACCATCGAATTTTAACTCATTTATCATTGAAAAATCATACCCATACGCACTAACAATGACTAGACTAAGTCAGTCTAAGTTAACTCAAACAATGAAAAAACGCAAAATACCACGGAATCATATAAACTCATTATTTCGAAAATATTCTGCTTCGTCGACGTACCACGTAATCGATTCCTGTGGATTATTTTCAGTAGATGGAATTCAAGGTGCATATTTATGTAGAAATACACCTTTGGAGGTGTTGAATAAAAGCAAAAATGATAACTTCAATACTAACAGTAGCACACAGTTGAATTATATTGCTAATAATCCAATAAAATATACTCCAGCCATTGATCATTTAATCCCACAATGTAATCCAACCTGCGGCTATTTATCAAATCCGCAACGCATGAAGTTGGTAGATGTTTTGGCTCTATACGAGGTCAATACAGACTTGCTAGCCAGCCTTCTTGGTTTGCCCACATCAAAGCTAAGAAGTTATGACTCAGAACAACAGATGCGTGCTTTATTTTGTGGGAACAATCGGGTTAAACGTAACCTTAGTCGTCTTATACTACCACAACTGTCTGTATAGCACTAATAATATTATTAATAATAATTAAATATAACTTACAAATTTTCCCATGTATCAAGAACTACAAGTAGTGACACAACATAAAACATATGTACACTAATTAGTAAAGGCAAATTTGAACTGCCTTTATAAACTAATGTACAAATCATATCATGTTCAAGTGTTTAATAGTCATGTAAACGTGAATATGATTATATGTCCAGTTTCCATTAAACATTTGATACAAATAAGAAAAAAAACAGAATTAAAACTAAGCATTTTCTATTTTAACCTAAACTTCTACCTCTTCACCATTTTTCATATATCATCATATATATTTACACATATAAGCACATTCAGATGTGTACATGATTTCCGCTTTATTTACCAGTCTGCTGAAGTATTCAGTGAGGATTTATTTTATTAAATTTTCAGTTTTCATTTTCAACAGTCTACCTCTTGTGTCCTTCTATGTCTATACGTTTGCGCAGACATGTGCATTTCATTGAGAATTCTTTCTCTTCATATCAGCAATTGTCAAGCTGCAACTTATCGATTTTTTCATAACTTCCTCTTTTTTTCTTCACTATTTGTATTTCACTTCTCTTTGTTAATAGTAACATCATCAAAAATGATAATCGTTGTTAAAAGAACTTGGTTTCATGAAAGTTTTGTGGATGGACTATTTTTTTTTCCATGGTGATTTGCTAACCATTATGTTATAAATGTACAGTTCCGCGTAAATAGTTTGAAAACAACAGTCGGAATCAATAAGTCAACTAATTTAGGTTGATCTTAAACACAAACAATGCTGTGTTTTCTTTTCGAGTTTTCCTACTGCAATCTATACTCTCCTTTGACTGCAACCATGTCTTCTTTGTTGAATATATAATCTTCTAACCTAGCTGACTATGAAGATTTTAATATATGAGTAAAACGCGATCACTATAACCACATCACTTTAATGGTAGCTGAACGATTGGTTGATTACTTTGAAAAAAAGTAAGTACCACACCTTTCTTAATAAGACTACAGGTGGTAAAAGGCATGTCGCTGAGTCATTGAGCTAGCTGTAATCTAGATACATTTATGCTAAAGTCGTTTCCTAAGCCTAGTCATGCGCCTTAAACACGAGTCCATCAAGATCACCTTATAATTTTAAACCTTGTCTTTTCACAGGTATTTATTTTCTTTCTTTTATTTCGGAGTGACTTTAAAGACATTTACCATAATTAGCAGATATTCTGTTATTCAAAAAAAATGTCGCTTCATTCTCTAAAAGCATACTCAATTAGATGTTCCTAGTATAACTAAATGTTTTCTTTTCCGTTTCTTGAAGTAGTCATTTACGCGCCTAGAATAGACTGCTTGTATAGTTCTCACGATAGCCTTTGTGAATAGCGAAATTTAGAGGTCAAAGTCACCTTGACACAAAAATGGCCGACAAAGTGCTTCTCTAGCTTTATATGGTAAATAACACTACATCACTTCTGTTAACTCCAACAGACCAACTGATTATTAGCAGAATACAGAAACCCAAAGAGATGGAAACACACACACGCATGCAAACTTCATAATCATACCAAGAAGTTCATCAATTTATATTGTCAATTATTTCGAAATATTCGAGTACTGGTTTGTAGGGATTTGACTGATTGGTGATAGGATTTCATAATGAGCTGACATTAGTTAGAGAACCATTGGAAAACCTGCAGGGAGTGCTGGACAGCTGTTCCATCCTAATGCGTGGGACTCTTCAGCAGTACACACCCACCGCCAGAGTTCAAACCTAGGACCTTCTGGTTACAACGTGAACTCGTAGACCATTAAGCCAATGAGACTTGATCCGATGGCCCATGAATTCTAACTTCTGCCGATTCATGATATAGCACAACCGCTAGCCAATGTCTTTGGCGAGTATTTGTCCGCACACTCGACCTGTTACACTCTACTGGTCACGACCTTCCACTAGAACCCCACATAACTACCAACCTGAATAGGGGCAGTCGCCGAAATAATGCCGAATATTTGTAGCCGACTGAATGACCATAACATATTTCTTAACTAGACCATCGTTTTGATAAGCGTCTGTTATAAATGTCATAAAATGAGTGATTTATAAACTCGAAAATGCAATTCAAATCTAGCTATACTCTTCTAAATGATTCTGAAATTGCAGAATCCGGCTGACAATCAAGAATCATAGGTGGAGAGCATTATAGAGTCGTAGAATGGAATTAGCCAGATGGTTGACATTAATATAACATTGGTGGTTACAAGATTGGTAAAAATGCAGAGAACATAAACGTGTGTCAAATTACTTAACTGAATACTTTGACTCAACATAATGGACAGAATATTTACTTTGTTACTGCCTTAATATATTTGTAATAAGTACAAATAAATATTCATTATTGAGAAAATTAACTTATAGTGTGATTTCCTCAACGATGTGGCAGAATTACATAAATCGAATCCACAACATGTTGCATTTTTGTATATTTTGCATAACGTCTGTAACCCGCGATTACAACGTCGATTTGGAGCTGATAGTTGATTTGGAATCATCTGAAAAAAAGAGTTGAAAATATTGAAAATCTTTCTTCTTCACCTTTCCTTACGTTATCTGTAAATGTTTGAAAGCTCACTTGATCTCAAGTGTTACAAAAACAAGGTGCAATCATTGACTTTTGGTGTCTAAAGAACGTTGACAGGAGACCAGGAATATTAACACATAGGTTAAAGGCTTTTTGTCGACCACTTCTTTCAGTCTAACAACAAACAATAAATAATTTTTCCTTCACGTTCCCAGTGGAACATAGGGCTTCAAGCGAGAGACTTGAAGTTTCTGTAACAGTGTTGAATTTTACAGGATGGGGTTGCTGGCCTCATGCCCAACCTTCCTCTTTACCAGCATAACTTCTGGCTTGGCGACGTAAAGGAGTTCGTCGGCCGGGTATTGAACCCCGGACCATGTGCATGGTCGGCGAGCGTCTTAACCGCTATGCTACCGACGCTAACAATAAACAATAGGCACAGTCAAATGATATCTCCTAGACTGATTTTTATATTGCAAACCGGAATGATAGGATTCTGTCAGATAGTATACTGCTGGTAACTAATTTTTGTTTACCGTCTATTAAAATTCATAAAACATGTTGCTACTCTAGTCAACATCACAGATAAGGGAAAATAAATGCAAGACTTGAAATCATAAAGGTGCTCAGTGTTCATGTGTACGTTTTTCAGATGATAATCATAAAATGGAAACACGGCAAGTGATTTAGGTGAGTCGCATATTTTCTTGTTGGTGAAGAAATCTTTTCGCCCTTTAAACAGATCATCCTGAGTTATTCTGTGCAATATTATCAACCATTAAATTACCAACTGGGATATCCTGTTATTCCAAAAGTTTTTTAGAGGACTTACTTTGAAAATATGTGGGGGAATAAACAAGTAACACGTTTTCCAATCTCGCGATACAGGGATGACATAAGAGTCTTAGTCTCAATGATTTGATCTAACAATGTTTTTACCGCTAACAGTAAGGGTAAATAAGCGGACTGGTCTGATAACTGGTTACACGTGACTACTAAAATCACACATACTTCAAATTCTTAATGAAGGTATATTTGCTGTCTACCTCGATTATATTCAAATATACAGAAAATTCAAATAACCTGTCAAAAATCTCTTTTATTTGATTTTATTTTAACCATTGAATTATAAGATTTAACAGTGTGAACTACTCCCATGTCGTGAATTAATAATCGATCTGAACGAAGAATATTCTTTTCAATAATTTCTCTTCAGGTTCTTACAATTAGAAAATGTAATATTTGTTCCTATCGTTACAATAATGGCCAGTTATGCGGCGGATACATTTTTTAACGTAGAATAACAGATTAATTATGGGGTGTCAAAATAAATTGTATTATTTGTATGACAAACGTGCTAGGCTGAAATAGATTACAAAATATTGTGGAATGGGAGACAATGGTGATGATTAGTCATAATAGATTCGTAGAATGTATTATATTATTATCATTGTTTCCTTTGATTCCTAGAGGAAAATAGAGCTTCAGACACACGCCTCCATTGCGTTTGGTTCTCTGCCAACGTTTTCACCTGGCTCCACGTCCGACTACAGGCTTTCATCCCCTCTTCACATAACCTCCTCCATGTCACCGTTGCACTGACGATCAACTCGCCGCTTTCCGTTCGGGTTCCACTCAAGCAATCGCCTGGCGTGGGATGTCACTCATATGATGGTTTTCTCAGAATATGGCCAACCCACCTCCATTCCTTCCTGCATTTTTGCTGCACAATCGGTTCCTCCTGCCTGTTTCTTTGCTGCCCGCTGTCTGTCGCATTATTTACTCTACCGTAATCAGAAAAATCATTGTAGATATTAGGCATCCAGCCAGCCTTGTCTTACTCCCGGATTCACTTTGAAGGATTCCGTGAGTTCCCTGTTGTGGACTGCTTGGCATGCAGCATTGTCGTACAACTGTTGGATGAGATGTAAACTTGTTGGCTTCACCCCTAGTAGCAAAGTAGCTGCCAAACCACCTCTTGATCAACTCTGTTGTAGGTCTTTTCAAAGTCAGTGGAGTTGAGGTAGAGATGCTTGACTTGTTCCTCCTGAATCCCGCCTGTTCCGGTCGAAATTTTACATGCAAAGTGTATCTGATTCTCTCCAGGATGATGTGGCTTATTATTTTGCTTGGGATGGACATGAACATGATGTCGCACCAGTTCTTGCATTGACTTAAGTCCCCTTTCTTTCGCAGTTTGAATAAGTAGCCTTTTTTCAATCCGCAGGTATCTTGCCCTCTTTCCACACCTTCTCCAACACTGGTGTCATCAAGTCCGCTGTTGTCTCTGGGTTCACTTTCAACGCTTCTGCTAGGATTTTGTCTGGTCCTGCTGCTTTTCCAGTTTTTAGCATCTCTCTGTCTTCAGGATTTTTGTTCTCGTCGAAGGGTTGATGTCCATTGGTGATTCTTCCTCTGCTGTTGATATTATTGGGCGCATTGTAGGTGGCGGTCGATTTAGAAGTCTTTTGAAGTGTTCATCCCAGTGATTGTTTTGCTGCACCTCTTTGGCGATTGACTCTCCATTGTCATCCTTCACTGGCTTAATTTGTGTTGATCTCTTCCCTGATAGAAACCTAGCTGTTCGATAAAGTGTTATGAGGTCTCCTTTGCCTGCAGCACTTTCTGCTTCACCTGCTATAGCTTCGTAATATTATCTTTTGCCTTCTCTGGCAATCTTCTTTACTCTTTCGTTCAGTTTATTGTAGCTTGCATCCAACTCCTGTTTTTGTTGCTCGACGATGCACTGGATAATCTTTTGTTTCACCACCCTTCTCTCTTCTATTAGTCTCCATGTGTCCCTAGTGAACCACTGGTTGTCCTGTGACTTCTTTCTGCCTAAAACTTTCATACAGGTTTGACTCCACACTGCTTTCACGCTGTTCCAGTGTTTTTCAACGCTGGTCTCTACGCTAGTGTTCATTTGTGTTTCCACCTGTTTCCCTATGATTGCAGTAACGATATCCTTTGTATCCTGATCCTTAAGTTTTTGAGTATTGAACTTGTCTTGCGGTCTATCTTCAGCCTTTGTTTCTTTGAGAGTTTTTAATTTCATTTGGAGTGTTTCTTGTACGAGATAGTGGTCTGAGCCAACTTCTGCTCCTCGTCTTACTTTTGTGTCCAGTAAACTGAGTCTTCACTTCTTTGTTTGCAGGGTGGGTTTGCCAGCCTGACGCCTGGGAAGGAGGTAGTTACATGAATATATAGTTTACAGAGGAGCGACTTTGGCTTTCTCCTCTTAGAATCAGGAAAAAAAGAATA